CCTTTCCGTGCAGGTTTGCCATCAGATGCTTTCAGCTGGATGCTTTTTTCCCAGGCAGGTTTGCCAAAGGTGTTTTCCAGGCAGCAGCAGTGCCAGATTTCTTGTGGGAAAGTGCCATCCCGTGGCTGAGTGCGAAATCCTGACTGTGTCGCGCCTGCAAACTTGCACCAGGAAAAGCCTCCTCAGACTACAGTGTAATTAGTAGATAAACACACAAGCACAGCCACGCTGCAAGGAGGCCTCAGACCTCCCATCCCCGCGGCATTCCAGCAGGAAATCTGCATTACAAGATTCTTGCATCCTCCTTATTTTCTGGCTTCCTTGTAGTTTTACTGGACACATCATATTCGTTACCTGTTAGTTACCCTCCTTTGGGGGACAACTACTGTTGTTTTTCACCGTTAACAAGGTCTCGTTAAATCCCAGAGTTCGCAACTTGGAGAAAACAAAACCAAACCCAAACTAATCACCACGCTGCCGGATGGAGGGTTTCAGGGATGTTCACCTCAGACTGGAGCCGCTGCCGACAGACCCCTTGCCGCACCGCGGGGGGGCACAAGGGAGGGATGGGGAGACTTGTGGTACGCCTGCCCTGATACGCAAAGCCAGGCACCCGGACACGTTCTTCCTTCCCAACTCAAGCCAATTTAGAGAACTCCTCCCCGGGCACCAAGCACGGCTCAAAACACGTTGTCTGCAGAACCTGACCGTTACCACCTGAACCACTAAATTTCAGGCATCAACACGTCAAAAATACCTCTCATAAGACACGATACCTCTGCGCTGCGGCAGAGAATTAAGTTCATGTCTTGGGATTTCCATCCGAAGGGCAATCAGGAGGATGTCTGACTTTAATTTGACCTCCATGTTTATTTAAACCTTGAACCTACCTATGCTTGGCACATTTCAACAAGTAAAACGCATGAAACCCTCCCATGACCAGCCAGGAGGAGCAGACTCCCGCTGCGCGAGGAGCAGGTCTACGCGGGGTCTGCAGCTGGGGAAGGGGGCCGAGGTGGGGGTGCAGCAGCAGGCGCAGGGAGGGCTGTAGAACTGCCCCCAACCTCTGCACATTTATGCCTCGAGCAAACGAGCAACTGCAGCAGCAAATGGAGGGGCTGTGAGTTGGTAATGCTAATTTATGAAAATGGAAACAATATCAACATGAAAAACTTTGTCCTGGATGCCTACAAAGCAGAGTGTCTTCCAGGCTTTGGAGAAGTGAGAATTGCTGCTTCTGTGCTGGTCTTTCCTTCCAACAACACACCTTGCCTGACATTTCTTTTAACTCATGAATAAACTGAAAACAACACTTGATTTTTATCTTCTCAACACTATCCGTGTTACATGTTCTTTGACTTTCTAGTCAATTCCTGACTACAGAATTGCTACCCTGCATCACTGCCTGCTTCAGGGAAGAAAGAAAAATACCCAACAACTAAGTGATGATAACAACTAACGTATTTCTCTTAATTTTATTGCCACAGAGGTTTTGGAAACGCAGTTTTCGCCCTGCCCTGCTACGGCCGTGGCCATCGGGCAATAAGCTTAACCAGGTGGGGCAGCAGCCTGTGGCTCAGCACGGCCAGCAGCTGCCTGGGGTCAGCTTTTCAACAGCAAGTCGTTCATCCCAAGGATACCTCAATGTTCGGTCACAAGTGTTTTCACTAAACGGAGAGATGGGCCTAAAATGACTCGGCAGCAACCTCTGATTTATTCGCAGTTCAGCTGCACGAAAACACAAACTTTTAACCACACAGAGCCAACTAAACATGGCATCTGGCTTTGTCCAGCGGAGTAAAATCAGACTCCTGGGGATCAGAGAAGCGAGCCAAGCTCAGGCAGGCCAGGCTGCAAGTTTTCAGTGCCCCTTGCAACTGGCTGTGCAGAAACAGCACTGCTCCGGGTCAGCCGGCAGTCACCAGGATGTGCACGTGTCCCTTAGGCTGCTCCGTAACCTCAGCCCCACTGAATCCTCCATCGCACAGCAAGCACAGGGCCTTTGCCCTGAAAAAACAATGTGGGGTTTTGCAGCCTCACTTTCCTACACGTGTGTTTCGGATGCTTCCAGCCAGGCCAGCTCAGTCAGCCACCGCGTGCCACGGGCCCCACCCGCGGCGCGGCTGCCGCTCTGCCCTGGCAGGGAAGGGAGTTAGAGCCGTGTGCTGCACCTGTCCCCAGCCAGGTCACCCATGTGCCCTTACCCCCCTCAAAGATTAGGGAAAGGATTTTGTGTATTCTTGGGATGTTAATTAACAACAGGATTTTGAGACCAAGAGAAGAAAAAAAGCTACATTCACACATGGGGTGTAAACTGTTATCGCCACTTTATGCGATTTCCTGCAACGGCAGGTCTTAGAAGAAAAATATCATTTGATTTTTGGTGTTTTTTAACTATTCGCCTTCACAATTAACCTTTTGGATGCTTGAACCCCAACCCAGCACTGAACAGCAATGGCAGTGCAAGTTTAAGGAGAGCAGAGGGTTTCGGAAATTGTCTGTTACTCACACTGTCCGGTGTGTCCCACGTGGTCCCTGGGCCGGCTCCCCCGCAGGGCTCAGCCCCTCCAGCCCCTCACCAGCAACCACAGCCCACCTTCAGATCCCGTCTTTACAGGGGCAGAACACCCATGTGAACCATTCCCAAGGAGTTATTCCCAACGTGCAAGACTGTAATTGAGTATTAGATGTGGTGTAGGTATGGATGACCCTGTTCAGACCAAGATATTAATAGGAGCTGCTCACTGGTTGTTAGTTCCCCCGTGAACCAGAAATCAGCTATGGCTGTACACCTTCTCCAAAGTGATCTCTACAGTATAAAATAAATAGAAAACACATCACAAATCTTCCAATTACATAATTCTAGAAGCTTAACACCATTTTAAGTTACAGCTACAAGAAAACGTGTGGTTGTGTAAGGGTACTTTCATTTTTCTTCTACACAAATGACTAATAGAAGTTTAAAACAACTTTCTTGGAGCCACAGGAACACAAACACATATTGGAAGAAAGAAGCGTAACAGAAGACTAAGCTCCTGCAGCCCTGACTTTGTAATTAATGTGCCTGTAGCTAGATGAAATTGTACATCTCACCTGAGCAAGTCAGGCAACGCGCGGGCTGCTCGGCAGCACTTCGGGCACACGTGCCACCTCTTCCGAGAGCTGAGGTCCGTCAGCGAGACAACGTTGAGACAACCCAGCTGCTCTTCAGAGCATCAGAGTTCTAGTCCTCTATGCAGGAATGAGTTTGGTGCAGAAGGTGCCTAAAACCTCACCGTCCTGGGCTACATCAGTTTTGCCAGCAGGGATCCCTCAACCCAGAGAGGAAACTGCTGGCGTTACCCCTGAACCTGCCAAATTCACTGAATTCACGATGGCAGTACCTGCGCCTCCCCCACTGACACAGCTGGGATGCAAAACCCTGGTTTTACTTATACTTACATTACACTTAGCAGCAACTCCTTCCCTCAACCTGACAGCTTTCACGCTCAGGTGTCACCCTTTCCTCCCACTAAAGAGCTGGCTGGTTGCCTTGACGTACAAGCCATCCGCTAACCCGGTTATGACTGAGCCGGACACACAGCCCCGTTGAGAGGGCTCCCCAGCACCAGGCAGTGCGTGTTTCTGTGAAACACCAGCCTGGCAGACCTGTCTGAAGCAGCGAGTCTGTCAGACACCGTCCCTTCCCGGTGCAGCCTGTTTTTCCTATTCACATGTCGCCTCTCCTGCAAGAGCCCAGCTGCTGAAGCACAGGACATGGGAACTACCTGGTGCTCCTTGTTACCCACAACAGCCAGGAACAGCCAAATTCTGTACATTCAGATGCCACCACTCCATCCCAGGCAGCTGTTTGCAGGGCGAATCCACCCAGCACCCAAGCCCAGGGCATCTCAGCAACTTACACCCTGCAAAGCATCCGTACAAAACCAGATGTGCTTACAGCCTCATGTGCAGTGCCGCTCCCAGCCTCCCCAAATCCTCTGTGACCACTCACGCAGCTCCGGCACCCCAGCTCCCACCCCTCGGGCTCCTTCCACACCAACTTAATCCTGCTGGTGCCTTATCACTCACTGCCCCAGCTCCTCCAAGACGCAGCAGGGGAGGCCTGAACATGACAGCACTGGGATATGGGGGGAAAACATGTGCGATCCAGGTTCCAAAAGATCCATAAGCCAGAGCTGTAATTACCTCCAGGATTAGCTGCAGCAGTATACACCAGGGCAGTCCTTCAGCTACCTCTACACCTTCACATTCTGTGCATCTCTGCACATAACCCCAGTAACAGACATAGAGCCGTGTGTGACAGGAACCAGCCTTCGCTCCACGTTTCCTCACTACGCTACGTACCTATGTATCAGGGTGTTTGAGTTTCCCAAGTGAGTTATTAAGACTCTGCTTCTAGAGGGGAAACCCACACAACTTTGCCTGATCTTCAGGCCATCGCAGTGTAGCAGGAAATCCAGTTACCAGAGCAGGATACAGTAGCAGAACCAGAGAACTGTTGGAAAAAATCACAGCTTAAATTAACTTCTTTATTTCACACATATTTGCCTATTGGTCTTTCTTACCACATGAATCAGTCAGCAGTTACGGCTTGAAAAGTCACTATTTTAAAAACTCTCAAAAACTGTATCATTGATAGGGAGATGTTAATAATACCGTTTTGTAATACCATTATTTAACATTTTCTTGTTTGCACCAAGGTTCTATTCGATTCCAGCATGTGAAGTTTTATAATACTTGCTGTAAAAATACTTATCCTCACTTTGGAGTCTCATTTATCATATTCTGAAGCAACCAGAAGCTCTGGAAATTGATAAGCTCCTCTGGAAAAAGTCTGAGGAATCTTTACAGTTCAGAAGAAACCAAGAGATCTCCCTCTTGTGGTCTTTATGTAAACAACCTTAACTACACTTGCGAGTTCAGAACCATCTAGAGAAGAGTTTTCTTTCATCAAATATTAACAGACATTTTAAGTAGTTCCACTCAATATATGAAGCGTTCTTCCTAGAAAGAATGAGAAAGAGATTGTTTTCACTTTATTTTTATCTACATGGCATTTTCTTGCAGAAAAACCAGAGATTCAAAACGCAGTGCTGTCTCCCGTATGCCACCACTTGAGAGAAAGTGGGGGGAAAAATGGTTACAGAACAAAGTAGATGAACAAACCTAACCCTGGGGAGATGTTACGTTTATCTAGATAAGTGCTACCTAGATGAACATATAAACTGCAGTTCTAAAATGCTCACACTTCAGTTTACACCATGCACATAATGATCGCTACCTCACAGACCAATCCTACTCTCCAAAAACCACAGCGGGTATGTAGGAACCCATGCTCACAACTTCCCACGGAATGAGATTAACAAGGCTGACACAAACATAAAAAGAAATTTTGTGCCTTTATTGGAATGGTGTTAGGCTTTAAATACACCAATTTTGATAACCTGATTATTTGGTTTTAATTAGAAATGACACTACAGAACTGCAATACTGGTCCAACAGTCTTGTCTTTACTTTTTTTTTTTTAAAGCAAGAGATAGTATGAAAATGCACCAAGTAATCAGAAAGCACTAGCAGGCATCAGTTAATCCAAGATACTAGCTTCTTCGTCCCAAAAGCACTCGCATTGTATGGAACCCAGGATTTAGACTAGTCATGATTTGCAAGAACTAGCTGCGTGAGTCATGACTTCTTTTCTTTTTTAATTTACTTTCAAGTTGGTCACTGGTAAATTTTTTTCCTCAAATATTACAGTTTAAGTCATATTTTTTCCTCAAAGTATAAAAAAGTATGAAATATAAACAAGCTCCTGCATTGCACCCGTGAAAGGGTACAACAGAAGCATTAGAGAGCTGACTATCTACACACCGTCAAATCCCACCAAATCTTGGATAATTCATTAATATACAAAATATCAGGGCACAGAAAGAACTAAAATCCACTTTTTTTGTTTTGTTACGCACAGGTTCAAATAATCAATCTAAAGAAAAAATGTGATCATTTTGGCTTTCCACTACATCCGCATGTTGAGACACTTATTAAAATAATCCTGCTTAATTGCGTTTGGTCTTGGTCTTACTGTCAAGTCATGTTTGTTATCTTAATACCAGCCATCAGACAAACAAGTAATCAGAAAGACAACTGCTCCTCCTCCCCACCTCCCTGTCCCTGACCCCTCCAAGGTCAGCTTTAAGACATGACTCCAAACACAGGGTTGTGACGACAGATGCTAGGACCAATCTCTTCATAATCTTTTTTGGTATGGCATACTTGGTAGAATTCAGGCTGTAAAGGGAAGCACAAAAATATTAGTCGTTGGCACATACACCTTATTTTAACCATATCAACATTTATGTAGCAAATGGAAATAACAAATACAGGTAACTCGAAGTCCTGAAATGAGCATTACATGACACATGGCTGAACACTAATTCAAACAATGTATTTTGCCACAAAAACCAAAAGGCCCAATTTAGCGACTCGCATAAAGCTGTAATTCAGCTTTCAGTTCCTCTTTCAAATCTTTAAAGTCTAATGCAAACACTCCAACGGGAGTGGGAGGGTGTATTTGCTACCTGAGGCCTCTCAGAAATCGCCCAACTGCATTTAATCCAAAGTGAAGGAGCCACGAGAACTCCAAAAGCTTGGCCAGAACAACTGTAACGTGCCCAGCTCTAGAGCGAACTTACTGTGGAAGCCAGCATCGATCCTCCGAACCAAACAGCGTATCTTTGCATATGGTGTGTGATGACCTGCACGTCAATGGGCTTTGGCTGTAAAAGAAAAAAAGGAATACATTAAAAGTCACCTTTGCTGGTAAAAAATGGATCTTTTTTAAAAGTACAGTTTATTCCAAGCTTACTTTTCACAAATCGGTATTTTCTTAAATGCTGGGTATGTAAATTCACAATTACAGCACCAGTTTTTCTCTTGTACAACCCGAACAAAGAAAAAGCTCTTGCTTATCAATTGCCAGTTGCCGCCTTATCAGACATTCAGGGATAAGTGCACCCACACCGATTTTCTCCCAAGAGCTCCAATGCAGTGTTCCTCTCCAGTTACCCCCATCTCATTTTCTGCCTAATTTCTTGAGGGACTGTTTAACTACGTAGGAGGGACATCACTTTTTACATAGGAATAGTTCTACACTACCAACCCCTTTTCAAAAAAATTAACTTTCTGAAGTGTTTCAAGTGTCATGTCCTTATTTTAACAAAGCATCAGAGCTGCAGAGTGACTGAGAGTTCATCTAGGACCCATACAGTCACAGCCACTACCCCACTCTTACCCCTTTCCCTCCCCACCCACACAAGCCTTCATTCCTCACTTGAGCTTATCAAAACCAGCAGTGTGCCTCACAGTTTCAGAAAGAATTTGTTTGTCCCCGTACAACCTACTGAAATCCCAACAATTTGAAAGTATCTAAAAATCATTTGTATCAGATTAGCAAAATCCAAGCCAGTGATTACTTGCAATGCCTGGTATGCTCAAGAAGGGAGAACCGCATCAGATTTCCTTATTCATATCCTGCTTTCCTACCAAGTGGTATAAGTGTAGCAAGGAGAACTAAGAATAAAGTAGGTAACTTGAACCAGAGAACTGTATGTAACTGAAATTTCAGAGTTGTCCACACAGCATGTTATGAAGTTATACTGGGCATTTTAAGGATTGTTTGAGCTCATCTAGCTAGACTACAACTAAAAAAAATAAGTGAAGAAAATCACTTCAATCTTGCCTTAAAGGAAAAAAACACAGTTTTTGACTCTGCACACATAAAAGATACCAGCAGAGATAACAGAAAAAAATGCATAAGATATATTCTTTCCACTTTTGACCTCTGATCTAAGTTAAGGATCACACAGTTTAATGTAAACATGAAGTCGTTTCACAGGACCATAGATTAATTCAGGTGGGAAGGGACCTCAGCATCTCTAGTTTAGCCTCTTGCTCAAAGCAGTCAGCTACAAGTTCAGAGGAAGTTATTCAGTTTTATCCAGTTGAATCTCAAAAACCTACAAGGGTGGAGACTACACCATCCCCCTGGGCAGCCTGTTCTAATATCTGATTATCCCCATAACGGAAGTTTTCTTTTTATCCAAGCTGAACCTCTTTTGTTTAGTTGTTACCCCTCATGTACCCACCACCCAGCACTGCCAAGGGCCCGGTCCCACTTTTTTGATCACCTTCCCATATACACCACCTATGCTTCTATTAGGATCCCCCACCAAAGCCGCCTTCTCCCTAAAAAAGCTGATCCCCTCAGCGTTTCTTCACTGGACAAGCGCCCCAGTCCACCAACTGCCCACGCTGGCAGCTCGAGAGTGAGTTTGCTCCATCTCTCCTGTTAAATTCAAAGGACTGAGGATGATGATTTGCTGCTCATCAATAAGCACTAAGCACAAAAAAGCTGGGGGATGTTCAATATAGAAGCTTTTCAGAGGTTCATGTAAGAGCTTTAAATGAAACCAAAGACGTTGCAACAAGCAAGAACGTCATCGCAATACGTTAGCTTTGCATTTTCCCGGTAACAAAGGAGAGAAAGATGCTGGTTAAATGCATCAGCTGCAGGAACTCACCTTCAGTCTGCCACCACTAAGTTCTTCACTAAGTTTCAGTCTGGCATCAACAGTCCTTTTCAAGTCTCGCTGTAAACGGCGACCAAAGTCCCTGAACATTGTTGAGCCTCCAGAGAGGACAATATTCTGTTTTGAGCAACAAAAATGATTAACCACTTACGAAAACAGGAGTCTGCAACTTTATCCAGCTCTTGAATTCTAAACACAGCTTTATGATTACAGTTAAGAGGTGTGCTTTTACTTTAAGTTGGACATTATCTAACACTTAAGGTGACAGAGTATGAATTCACAAAGAGGTTGTCACATGGAAATCAGCTGTGCTTTAAAATCCATTTATATCTTAGTTCATCTCACTTCTTTCGCTCAGATTTATGCTTCCCTTATTTCTTTAAGCAAGAGTTTCAGTAATGAAACACCACACTGAAAAAGTACAAGTGAACAACATAAAGCCTTCTGCGTACTGGACTAATTTCTGGGAAAACAGTTAACGTTGTTAGTTTGGGGTTTTCTTTAAATACAGTTTCAATTACTTATTTCAATATAAAGCACAGTCCTTGTGAAACAAGTATTAAAGAATTCATTATAGCTACTGACCTTATACAGAGGACGTCTAACATCAATGGGGCAATTCTGAATAACTTCATCTACTACTTCTGAGATTGGTTGCGTAAAGTCAGGATTAGCAAACTACAATCAAGAACAAAAACAGACAAGTCAACATGTAGGACCACGTATTGCAAAGGAAAGGGGTAAAGAGGAAAAGGAAAGAGAAAGAAGTTATTGTACTAGAGATGTCATGAAAACTAATAATGGAAATAGTTCTGTTAGCTATTTTTGCTGCCATTTATAAAAGGTTTGAAAGAATAAACCTAAAGTATCTATTTGCCAGCTATTTTCTTCAGTAGTTTTGTTAACCATAACAGGTGAAAGAATACGTGCCCTTCTCAGATGCTGAGCACCAGAGCAAAACAGCTTAACATGAAAAAGCTGCAACAGGAGAATGTAGAGAGGAATTCAGGGCTGGGAAGAGGCTTATTCCCATTTATTTTTTCCCAACACTGGAAGAGAGACAGAGGGTGTAAAGGCAAGATGACAGGTTATCTAGAAACTTGACTTTTCAACAGACAGGTAAGAAAAACAGTACAGTGTGGTGAGGTCTGGAAATTCTATTAAAAACTGCACAAAAAGACAGGTTTAGTAACCCATTTACTTTAAAAATTTCAAAACATAGGGCTTTGTTTAGATAACCTGAATTTGTACAAAGCTTACTAGCAATCAAGAAACAAAAAGACACTGAGTCATAACAACAGCTGATAGCTATTTACAAACAGGGAGAAATACAAGTCAGGATGTCCACTCCCTTAAAAGCCTGCAAACACTATTTATATGCTATCACCCAAAATGCACTTAAAACACCAAGTGTAGACAATTCAAATCAACTTACCTCAGGATGAAAGAAAATCTCTGGCCCCAGGAATCTCTCATAGCCAACATCAATGGTAAATTCTTTCTTTGAGATAGCATTAATTCCAGTATACTGTTTAATCCACTTTGTACCATCTGTGTCATACTTGTTAAATTCTTTTACTAAGTCAGGGCAAACATAACTAAAGCGTTCCTGAAAATTGAGTATGAACAGTTACAAGTATATTCATAAGTATAGCAGAGAAGATGCTATGAACTTTTAAAAGAAGAGTAGTAGTTTAAACCTTTAAGAATAAGAGTTTTAAATTGGCAGGCACAGAATAGGCCTCAAAACCAGCTGAACTGACATTTACTGTATACAGTTAGTTAATGGTTCTGCTACCACAAGTCATTTCTGTGCGGCACTGAAAGCAGCACATCTTACTGAGCTAAATCACTTTTCATCTATTTTTCCTCTAAACTTCTACGATGGCGAGAAATGAGTTCTAAAGTACACTGAAGAATTGCCATAGAAACAGGTTTAAGTGTACTTTAAGCTGAATGTCTTTCAGAATAGCTCTGTACTACAAAAAAGAACGTATCAACATTCAGAAAGAATAAAAGAATAATTGCAGCTCTTTACATTACGCATCCCACCAAGAACACTTCCTACTGAACATTACAATAATAAGAATAATAAGGGAGGGGAGGAGAAAGGGGAGAATACAAGCAGAGTGAAATTCTAGGCCAAATCGAGTATAATCCAATAGCGTACCTTAAATTTAAGATATTTTATGTTACTATATTATTTAGAGATTTTTATATTACTTAGAAACAGAACCATTCCTTGGCAGGACGAGGATTTTAAGATATTATTGTAATTTAAAAATAGATATCACGTTCTGATCCAAAATAACCCTGACATCTTCAACATTCACTTTACCTTCACTGCTTTAGCTGTTTCCAAGGATTGTTCGGGAGGAATTCCTACTTCTCGCTCCCTCAGCAACTGCTGAATGAAGTATGTAATATCTCGCCCAGCAATTGGAATGTGTTTGATACAGCTGCCAATCACGTACCCTTCAGCCTGTAAATAAAATTAATTGCGAGAAAGATACTGACAGGATCTCCTTTCAACAAAGCTTAGGCAGGAGAGAGAAAGACACGGAGCCTAAAGTCCTATTCACCACCTGTGACTGTGAGACTGAAGCCCTTTAAGACTGGCTCGTTCAACCACCAGAAGTCCCATCCTTCAGCAGCCCTATTTTATTTTTTAGCGTTCACTTGGCATTCGGTTATAATTCGTACAAGGTGAAGGGGAACAGAAACAGCACTAGTACATAAGGCAGACAAATAACTAGACTCACTATTCCTTGGCCTTTATTTTCTCTTAAAATGAGGTTACTCTTACCAGAATGGTCAAGGAACCTTGTATTGTAAGATATTATTTTAGAATAAATGATGTGGCTCTGCAGTCAAAGCCACTGATGGAAGACGTTACAGTTCACATGAACCAAAAGTCATTTTCTGAAAGCAGGGAGAAAATCCTAATTTCAGCACATTAATTGAAACTGCTCAGAACAGACTGGCCCATGCTCATCCATCAGCCTACCCCTGTAAGTCACACTCGTCCCAGGGACCAGTATCAGGGCATTAGAAATACCTGGTCTGAATGCAGAAACTGAAAGTGTTCAAGGCTGGCTTTCAGCCTCAGCAGACCTGCTACAGCCAAACAGATTAATCCAGATACCATACTAATACTAAATGATTAACATTTCTTATATACACCTTACATTCATATAAAAAAGTTCTTTCTAACCCCAAAAATAACGAAGTCATAAAACATACCACTATTGCTAGCTTCACTACAGAATACACATTTGTAAGTTCCTCTATTTTATTATAACGTCATATACTATTGCTCTCAATTTGTTCAACATGTTTAAACATTCCAAAATTCAAGCAAATGTCACTCTATAAAAGGAAAATAAAGCTTCAAGTGACACAGAATTATCTACTCTTATTCCAATTAAAAAACAAACCCACAAATCAGGGTAAGTTCCACTGTTTTAAACAGCAATTTGAACTACTAAATACTGTTAAAAAATGTTACCTACAGAAGGTTTGAAACATTAGTTGTTCCCTACATCTTATTAGAAATATGCCATCTTGGATACACAGTTTGAACAAAGATTTAGCCACTATATTCCACCAAGTTGAATAAGAAATTGCTACATCACAGCGCATTTGATCTCCACCAAAGCTACTATTTGGTATAGCAATCATTTTTTAAAATTGAGGTTACTGTAGACAGATGAAGCTTTGTACAGATTTGAATCTTGAAAGCGGCAATTAACTTCATTTTGGAAAGAAAAAATGCCTCTGGTGCGTAAATATGCATTTATGTTCCCAAGGAAAGATGGGCAGAGACATATTACCAACCAAATAAGGAACACTATTAAAGATTTGTCGTAAAATTTCAAATATGTAGCTTTGTAAAAGGAAATACATACCTACAGCAAAACCAGTAATTTGACAGTTAGGAAACTGCAGCTGTAAATGCTAATTATTTAATAAAACATCATATGATAAAACTAGTTTTTACTTCTAGCAACATGATGCAGCAGAAGATATTCCACATTAACCTTTTGGAGGGGGTGTCGGTCAGGTAGGAATTTTTTTTCTTTTTGCTTGTATCACTGATGCATGATAGCATACTACCAAACACCAGTCAACAGATGAGATAGAGAAAAACTGTAAATGCACAGTAATTGAGGGCAGATATAGTATTATTTCTCTCTTATATATGAATTCACAGAATTGAAGAGTTTCCAAACATTTCAGACTGCCTACCATAAAGAGAATAATCACTCTTACCAGCAAACAAAGTGGAAATATGATAAAGCAATATAGTTTGATTGATCATTTAGCGTGGCCTTGGCAAATCACCTTCCAAAAGATAAGCCACTGAAAGATACGATGCCCTGAGAAACGCAGGGTGCAGAGAAGTTCTGTGAGTTTCTGCACTACAAAATAAACAAAACCCCACACCCTCAACCCTGGAAATGACCTGACAGTTTTGAGGATCCCTAGTTCTAGTTCAGTCTGTGTAGGTGTAGACTTCAGAGATGTTACAGGACAAACTGCTCTCCAGTTTAACTGCTGCTATAGTTTTGATGTACACTTACCACAGGAATAACATGAGTGACACCATCACCGCTGTCTATAACTGTGCCAGTCAGCGTTCGTTCTCCTACTTGTCGTGACGTCCAAGACGCAGCTAAGGCAAGGACAGCCTTGTGAAAGAACACATGCAAAAAAAAAAAAACCTTTAAAATCTCAGTAAGAGCACTGCATTGCAGATCCCACCTTCCGTTACCCCTCCCAGCAATACCCAGACAGACACCCTCATGGCAATCTACAGCATGGGAACTGATGTAGTAATGTTACACACGTGTACACAACACCTTATGGAAAGAGGCTACATGAAGGTAGTTTTTGACTACTAATGCTTTTTTAGCCATGTTCAAACATCTTTTTTGCTGCTTCATATTGAGAGGGATCCAATTCTTGGCCTATTACCATTATTATGATGTGGTGTGTTGGGGATTTATCCATTTGTTTATGGCGCAACAGGTACTACACTCTACTGCTTGGAGGCCGCCCTCTACACAGGTAAGAGAGGAACAGTGCTCAGCAAACCGAACACACAACCAACGCGTATCAAGTGCTGAAACTGCTAGCCACAAGTACATAAAAGTATTTCAAACACCACTCACAGAGTTTTCACAGTGAAGTTAGTATTAGCTCAAGGAGAAATACTGTAGCTCCAACTCTCAACAGCCTTGCCCTTACCTGAACGGCAATATATAGCCCTGGAACATTGAAAGACTCAAACATGATTTCAGCAGTATATTCTCTATTTTCTGGAGTATTTAATGGAGGCTCAGTCTGTGAGACAGAAGAAGAAAAGTTTTACTTATATTCAAATCAAACACTTGACTTCCAAAAAAAACCCACCAAATCTTAACTATTGAAAGATGAGTCATTCCTCAACAACAATAGCATGTAAAAATAGTAATGTGCAAAGGGTGCTTTTAAAGGCAAATGGTGCAATTAAGAAAATCTAGAAACACCTCTGACGATAACAGAATTTATGCAAACTGCATTGCAAAGAACATGATTTGAGTGAAAACTGCCAAAAACACACAATAAAAATGTTACAGTAATTACTCTGTGGGTTGGCTAGCTCATTACAACTTTTGATTTCACTGAAAGTATCAGGGACCTAAAAATGTCAAAGGATGCAGTTTAGCACATTTGAAGAATGAGAATTATTTTTAAAATTCCTCAGTGATTCACTAAAGAAAAAAGCTGGTTTTCTTCAGAGTCAATCACTATAAAACAAGTTGATATGATCAGCTGTAGAAACGAGCTCAACAGAGAGAAGCTAGCAACAACACACAACACGCTATAATAGTAAACTATCATTTTCATTAAAATAACAAACATACTTAAGCGTCTTCTCTGAAAAAGCATTTTGGATAGTGTCACATACAACTTGAGGGGGAAAAAATAACACTCTCATCACATCTATCATATAACAGCTGGGTAAAGAGAGGAAGGAGGGGGGGGTCAAATATTGGAAAAGGGCCCAGAGTTGTTACGGCATCTTGATCCGTGGACATATGCAGCTGGACACAGCCTTGAGCAACCTGCTTTGAGAAGACTGTTGAATTAGATGTTCTTTAACAAGTATAGCGAACACTCTTAACTCCAAACTTGCTCTAGAAACGTCACACTAAAACAATTTGCCTAGTTCAATGGCCTTAAATGAAATACTAAGAAACAGCAGATGCTTCAGAATAACACTGATCTTAATTCACGTCTAATCTAACCACATATGACAATCAATCCTTCTGATTTCATTTAAAAAAAAACAAACCCTCTCTGTCTAGACTCACGTTCCAGGTGGCAGCATTGTAAAAACAAAATAACTGCAATTATGTCGAGTCAAAACAACCAGCTACTTTTTTGCCTCAAAAATGTAAACATTATTATTGAATTCAGTGGATAAGTAATAGAAAAAAAGGGATGGAGCAGGCAATTTGGAGGGAAATGAGAAGAGAGAAGAATTTGCAGTTCAGACACACTGACATCTTTAGAAGATTAAAGAACCTGGATCTGATAAGCCAGGTCAGGAAAGTCTCAGTAATTTATATTTACTTCAGTTTTCAAGATCAGCTTATTTAACAATTACTACGTAAATGTGCATAAACATTCTTAACACTCATATGTTATTTCCTAAGTTTGTTAAGTTTCGTAAGACATAAGTTTACCTACCAAAAGAAAATAATGGTCCTCGGGTTCTGCCCTTAGATACTTAAAGATTACTTGCTCCATAAACCTCTCCATCAAGTCCCAGTCTTCAACTATACCATGGCGGATGGGCCACTGTTGCACAAGGATATCAAAATACAATTAGAAACGAAAGGGGGGAAAAAACCCCAATGTTTTCAACTGCAGTAAAAGCATATGATCCACTTATGCAAGAAACCTCGCATTAGGTTTTCCCTACCTTGATCCGAAACCCATTTGAAATTCAGATTCCAACCCTGAATAGCAGAGATAATACACCGCGCTTTTCTCAGTGGTGGCACTCGGATAAACCAAAGGTTCCCCCCAGCCCAGCAGTTGTGATAGAAGATGCCAAGGAACATTAAAGAAAGTGATTATTTCTGCTTAACACTCTCCCAGCTTCCCTTCACTTCAAAAGAAATATATATTAACGTACTTTTTTGCAAATTCCCACAGGCTCCTTAAGGTCAACAAAGCTAATACCAAACTTATTTTCCATTTAAACAGAGTTAATAAGAAAACAAGATTAAAGAACCAAAAAACACTAAGAAGCTGTTGACTGTATAGCTGACGCTTTCTAAAGAGTACTGGAAAATTATTTTAAACATTCCTCTTAATACCTTGGTTGCATAAGTTGGTTTTTCTATTGCTTCATCCCCGATAAAGAAGTCTAAATCATCAACACCTTTCAAAACCCTCCTTTGTGCTTGATCGACCACTTTTGCCGATTCTTTGATAGCAATACCTTTAACAGAGAACACAAACAATATTGTAGATTATATATCCACCAAAAACAAGGGAAAAAACCAACCCAACATTCAAAAATAGAAGCAGACTGTAATTGTATTCATCCTTTGCTTCAGGCATAAGCACAGAAGAGATACATAAAACACAGATAATTTGAATTCCAATCATAGGTAAACATAATTAGGGTTTATAAAGTAACACAATACAGACCTAAATACAGATTTAATTGTTAAGACACTCAACATTCTATCAGGGAGATAAAATATACGAGTAATTACTAGATGTAAGGTATCCCTACAGATGTCGTTTTGTTCAACAAGTGCGCTAATTTTCTGCACACTCTGCTAATAATTAAAAATAAACCCAAACATAGAGTTTTAGAAAGAGCAGGAAACTATTATATAAATGGATGTTTTACTTCACTTGCACCAATTTAATTTCTGGACATATTCTGAAAGTGAGATAGGGCACTCAAAAGGGACTAAATAGCAACTAAATACACAAAGCACATGTACAAGAGAAAGCAGGAAAGAAGTAGGAGGCATACCGAAAATGAAAACTGGACAAAAATAAAAAGAGTATTGCTAAAAGGACAGAAATTGGTATGGCCACATAATGCACCTTTAGATGGTTTCAAACAGATTTTCGCCAAGTCTATGTTTTATTTCTTCCTTTAAAGCCTATTCCTATCTTATTGTTAAAAACAGGGTTGAGAATTTCATTTAAGACAGACTATAAATCTCTCCTTCACTTCAAGGAACAACTTGCAAAACTTAAGACCTTGCATCTTCCTGATTTATCCCTTCCATGACAATTACTCATCATAAAAAAGAAAGAAGTTTTTATCAGAAGAATACTGGCTAAGGCTAAACACAGGATCCTGGAAAGATGGATCAGTGATAAGATATCACAGGAACACAGATGTTCCCCTCCCACATTTTTTGCATCAGCCCTCCTGGCTACCAGGGCTGCAGTGCCAGCAATACCCGCTGTATTTTTTCAAGTCTTACTATTGCCTTTAAACACAACCCTTTACACAAATGAGGAAATTCATATAAATAAGAGCCATTAATATCAACCTCAAATACCCAAAGGTCATGATCAGCAGCTTTTTCTAAGAGAATGATTTTGCTAATTCTCACCCTCAGTAAGAAGTCGTATTTGCTCAGATTAACTGAGATTTAAAAAGTTATAAACAGCTGCTGCAGGCTGAAGGCCACTGGACACAGGGCAGCACAGCTACAGGGTTTGGAAATCAACAGCATGCCAGGGAAAAGCACCCTTAGTTCACTGATGCTCCCCCCATCCTGCTCCCTTCCCTTCCCAGAAAGGGCAACAAAAGCAGAGCGGTGCAGCCTCTGTTAAATGTTGTGAAAGGCTGAGGAGGATAAACCAGAAGATGTTATTTTGAGCTCTTCAGGAAGACAACTGAATCATACTGTAACTTCTTTAGCGGTTTACAGGAGAGTAGAGAGGAAGCAGAATGCACGGGGGGTAGATAGGAAGTAGAAGCTAAAGTCATGGGCAAGGAGGTGTCGCAACGCAGCATTTGCTGCAAGTGACAAGAACCTTGCCACACGTTTTCAGGTCACCATTATAGAGCTGAAATTTTGGGAATTTTCTCTGCCCAGATGTGTGTTCCCCTCAAGTAGTTTCAAGTCAGATACCATCGCTTGCCACAGGGCTACAGAAACCTTCCAGTCAAAGTGTTTCACCCTGTTACAAGCCTAAAACAAGATGAGAGCGCTCTGTCTAGCTGACCTTGGGGCTAGCCTGCTCAGCCCTCGTTTTGAAAAGTCAGAAACGAGAAGCAAAACAACCTGAATCAAGAATCATATCCTGAAAATAGAAGAGGAAAATAAACCTCGCTGCAACCAGAGCCAGGCTACCCCGGTGTCTGAAGGTGGGCAGCACTCCAGCGCTATCTCAGAGCCTTTGCCTTCTGTTTGCTTGGCAGAGAATTAAGAGCTTGTAGGAAAAAAGAGAATATACTTGCACTAAATCCATTCTCTGCTTAACCACTACTCCAGCCTTTTTCTTCTTTCAAAGGTAAAGAAAGGGCTATCTAACACAAACTACCATAGATAAACTGAAACAGATGACAAATCAAGAGAATCCCTGGGTAAAGGCAAGTTGACTCTTACTTGAACATACAGCAGGAGAAAAGGATGAAGGGAATAAAACCCAAGCAAAATTAATGATCTGCCAAGATCTAAAAAGCAGCCAGGGAAGAAAGCAGTGAACCCAAGTCTCTTCAAAACCAAACTGGCCCAATATATTCTCATTTACTTCACTTTTCAAGCAAGCATATTCAGAATTAAATCAGAAACACAACATGAGAGAGGAGTGGGAGATAAAAACTTGTTAAGAGCAGGAGTAAGATAAGCAGCAAGTGAACAAGGCAGAAGGAATGCTGCTCAAACCTGTTTAACAGCTAACATTTTTTTAGAGAATCAAATTGATAACACACAACCACCATTGCTGGAAGTCAAAGCAGAAACCAAACCGTTTTTCCACTGGGGATAATATTAAGGCAATTAAAGACACCAAAGTGCTTTGAAAAGATCAACAGTTTTTTGTAACATACTTTCAAACTAGGTACTGCTACACTCTACTCCCATTCCTCTAATGTGGATTATTTTATTTCATTTGAAGCAGAGGATTAATGCAAACTGTGCAGTTAGTGTAATTATTTAACTTGGATCAGAGTACAAATGAGAAAAATACCTTTTTCATTAAGAGAATTGCAGTCAAGAACTATTTCAGCTGTAGGAGCATCTGGACTAGAGCACCTTTTTCTTTTTTTCTTAAACACATCACACTTTATCAAAAAGCTGTTTAAATAAATTTTCTCATTTCCCCCTCATTGTCCCTACTTTAACAGCATCGCTGTTGTATAAATTCCTCTGCTTACTGATCTGACATGTCATTGCATTCCCAAAATTTGTTTTAAGGGTCACAATCTCTCTTCCTTTTAGGAATGAATGACTTTAAATAAACGAAGCTGAAGATACATAAAAAGTATGTAAACACTATTTCTCTGAAATCAAATAAAATAACCATTTGCCCATTACTAAATTAAAGACTGCTAGGAAGTTTAAAGAGCAACAAAGTTGTTTTCCAATGGTTTAGTAACTTTAACCCAGCGTTAAAACTAGGTTTTGTGTGAAAAACAAAACTGTAGAGTGTTATTTTATTTGCTACTGAGATAAACCAAATGAACTCATTTGGAAAGCCAAACAACTTAAGAGCTACAGATTAGAAGCCAATATAGAAGAGACAAACAATTCTCTTACTTGGATGTAAACAGGAGAATGCATTAAGTGAATTAACTTCAGCTTTCCATGAAAATTGCTTTTTGAAACTTGTTTTGTAGAAAAATTACCATAGAGCCTGAACTACCAAGTTCTATTTCACAGTGTCTATGCTTACTTGTTATTAGTTCTGGCTCTTTTCCTGTTGCATTTACAAGGAAATCTGGGTGTACTAATTATTCCTTTTTACCAGGATATAATATGTGATTACTTTGGCACAAATAACAATGACAAAATGCCAAGTGGTGTAGGAGGTCAAAAGTTGAAGCATTTCTAAAGGAAGTCGATTTGAGTTCTACTCTCCAGAGCCCTATCACTTCAAGTTGGAGAAACAGTTCAGAAAACAGGGAGCAAGTAAATAAGCAACTGTACACAGGGAAAAAAAAAAAATTAAATGTTTTCTTGTTCTAGTTACAAAACAGTAAATTAACTAACACAGCTGTAATACTGAAAACTACCTTGGAAGTATAACATTTTAAACCCTAGAGTTATCTAAATATTTTTTTTTCCTAGTTATAGTCAACTGATTTATCTGATAAATCACTAATAGGGGAAGAGCCTTCTAAAAAAGTAAATATAGCTATGCTACTGTATTTTAATAGGATTTCAGTTTCCAACAAATTAACTTCACTTATATAACAGTACACTATTTTAATGAAAATATCTTTCTTAACAAAGCCATGCTATTGCTCTGTCATCACTCAGAGGCCTTTTCAAGTAGCTCATTTTTAACTGTGTGGGGTTGGCTGTTCGTTTTTTTTAAGCTTTGTTTGTTTTTTATGTAGCAAGTTACAGAAACCATAAGTGTAACTTCAGCATTTATACGCAAGTAACAAATACTTACATGAAGGAATAATGAACTGGGGTTCAGTATTACCGGCATATCCGAGCTTTGTATACCTATTGAGACAAAAAAAGGTTGTTATAATATTTAATACCACAAATACCAAAGATATCTCCCTTTCTTAACAAACATACCAAAAAGGCCCACTGAATTTCCTTTTTAAAAAAAAAAACATAAAACACACCCCAAAAAACTCAAATAACTACTATTTTTTAAAAGGTAGAAAAAAAATGCTCCCTGCCACAAAACAAGCATCATTACAAACTTCTACTCTAGTAAAATTTTACTACAGAACAAACTATGTAATTCAATTTATCAATGCTTAGGAGTATAATTTACAGTCAGAGTAGTTCTTCCCTGGTTAGCAGTTAGCATTTCTATAGAAATATAATAAGTGTTAGTAGTAGAAGTCTTTGTAACTGCTAGCTATAGAAGAAAAAATTCCCTTGCCCACAGACTGCCAGCTGGGCAGGCAGCAGGGCTGGCCATCATTACTTCCCAAGCATTTCCCAAGATGTACTGTTGTAGGTGGCAAGTACTGACAGCTGATGACAGTGGTAGCAGAAGAAATTCCATTTAACAAATAGAAAAATCTTGAAAATGTGTTTAATAAGACTGAGGAAAGCAGGAGGAGGAGAACCGCACACCTTCACCCACCCGATTTCTAGAATATGCTACAGATATACACATCACTTTCATTGTCATGACGTAAGAAAACTGAAGACATTACCAAAGTAGCCATGAGAAATAATTGCAAAAGTCAGAGTACCAGAACTATCCAGCTGCTAGAAATGCTTATACAAATGAATTAACAGCAGCATAGGCAATTCTAAAACGTGCAGCCCAAAACGCACACTTCATTCAGGAGTTACAGCCTACGCACAAGTTTTTAACGAACACAGACATGAGAAAGTTCTCATTTTCTTTATACAGTCAGACAGCTGTACTAACTAAAGTAGCAGCAGCAGGAAAAGCATGAAACACTGTAGTAGCACCTCTACAAGCACTTGAATATAAACCTGGAAGATCATAGGCTGTAGAAAGCAGTACTCACTTTAACAAGCCATCAATGTGTGTCAGTAACACAGCAGAAGGCCTGGCAAAAGTACAGCAAGAGGTTGGTTTTTAAAGCTAGAAGAGGAGCGCTGCTGCAGTAGGTTTCTGTGATGCTACTGATGCAGCAGTTCACAATTTGCTCACGTGTCCGCTAATGCCGACACAATTTCCATGGCTGATGTTAATTGTGCGCATTAGTGCTGGGCCAGGAAAAGCTGTATCCTCAAAAAGAAGGTATGTTTCCCTCTAAATAACGAAGAGGTTAGCACAGGACCCCATCTAACACCAAGAATGCTTTGCAAGAGCAGTATTTAAAGCAGTAAACCTGATCTTGTCTGTAACACACTGCAACAGTTTGGAGTAACCATGTAAAAAAAAAATTTGACTTCATATTGATCAACAGGAATGTTTACTGAAAAAAAACTTCACAGGCAAAATAAGATAAATAATGCAAAAACAGGAACAAGTAACAAAGAAATCCACACCTCGGGAAGAGATCAGCATTATGTCCTCTATGTGCCTGAACTCAGGACACGCAACTTTAATTTTGCAGACTGAAGTTACACATTTTTTAAATTTTATTCTTAAATATTTAGTTCCTAAAAGAAACAGAGACTTCCACAGGCTGATGCTTCTGTAACCTGTCATGCAAAATAAAACTGTTCACTGTATCTATACTGTTTTAAGAGGCTGTTAGTTCACCAAGGAAATTAGTAAGAAAACCAGCATACTGACTCACTCCCTCTACCTTCCCCTGCAAATCCCCAGCTGTGGCACGTCAATGTTAGAGCTAAATCTACAGAGGAACTTCGGAGCCTGATGGCTACAGAAACCTACAACTAGATCAGAAGTGCCTTAATAAGCAAAAAAGTTAAAACCGTTTGATTATTAAACTCAGTGTTTCAAGAAAAGAAAAGCTGAACTGCTGCAGGTAGCAGGCTGCTCCGCTGCTCATGGTGTGGGAGACTGCCCAGCACACACGCACAGCCAGCAGACCGAAAGAAAAACAGTCAAATGAAAGATGCATTTTACGTAAACCGACCATATCCAGACATAAAGACATAAAATCAGCATATCTAAAAATACTATGGCCTACTCAGCAAGAATTCTCTTGACTCATGAAGAAACGGTCACATTTTAGGCTTCCCCCCTGCCGCCCCACCAAAAAAAGGAAAACCCACATGACTTCTGGTCTCCAAATATTAAAGCATTATAGCCGCTAGTCTGTATGTAAGGCTTCACATCTCTAGTGTGCCAAGTCTTCCCTGCCACACTCTCTGCCATCAGGAATGTCCCCACTGCTCACCCACCAGTGAGGAAAGGGACTTGCTGTTCCCTCCTACGCCTCAGCCCTCCAGGCACAGGCAGCCTATGGTGACTGGTACTGCGGGGCTCCAGACTGTAGCCAGGGCTGCCAGGGACTGTGATAACACATAATGAACAGTAAGCTTCACTTTCATAACTAAATACATAGGTACTCTCCCAGTTAAAATGGAGTTGAAAAATCTGATAGATGAGACAGCAAAGGTAATTTGAAAAATTGAAAATTAAAAGTTGATAAAAATCTTCATTTCTCCAAGTGCACAATCTAACAACAGTTGGGCTTTCAAAAAATTCACTTTTGCAAAGATGAGGCTTTATTCTACCTGATCAGAATTGTTCTACTACTGTCTCTTACAGTAAATATTCAAACCACATGAAAAAAGGATAGCATGGCCAAGTTAGATGTCACAAGTGCACCCTTTCCACAAGCAGTTGGTACAGTTCAAAGTGTGTCTGACTAATGTGTGATTCACGGGGGAAGGAGACACACCCTGTCTTCTTCAGGGCAGCCATCACTGCCATTACTGAAAGAAAACCTGACACTAAAGATATCACACAGTACAGCAGTACTAATACTGGATCGGTTTTCCAGTAAATCAGTTTGTCCTGCTTGCTCCATGGCGCTGAAGAGCGGCAAGAGGGACTTCCATGGAGACAGGCAGGCACATGTTATTTAGTGAGAGGTGAATTCAGCTTTCCCACCCTGAATTTGGGGCACTCAGCAGTAAAAAGCAAGGCACTGTACAGACGAGTGTAAAAGTATATGCAGGTTTCTATTAAAATCTGTAACACAACTGATTTACAAAATCCAATGGCAAAAACCTGGATTCAACCTTCATCATTCAGATGTTTTGCCTTAATTTCTCCATGTTCAGCTACCTGAAATGCTTTCGTAGGCCTGTTAGCTCATTTAAGTAGAAAAAGATTCAAAAAGGAAACAAAAAAAAGCAGGGGAAAAAAAAATGTTGGATAATGCTGACTTTAAAAGATAAGTTACGAAGCCCCCATACGTACGTGCGTGCAGGTATATAGAGTATATAGTGCAGGTATATAACCATATACACGCACACATAGTCCCTCACTGTCTATCACCACTCATATTCATATGGTGCTGATATTCCCCAGTGACTCCTCCAAAGAGCAGAGGTCTCACCCACCATCCTCTGGCCTATGCAGATGCAGTGATGTGGTAAAAAATATCTTTTTATAGGGATCATTGATACCACCAACAGGGTGTGGGTATCAACTAATGAAGGTTATTTCCAAGTTAACTCCACTGATCTAGATCTCACCTACTAGTATATAACTATCTCTAGAGTCACATCCACCCCAAACACACACCCTGAAACTGCACAGTAGCTCTGCACTGATCTGCCTGACAGTTGTCTGGAAGGACAGCCAAAGGGCTCTCATAGAATCACAGAATGGTTTGGGTTGGAAGGGACCTTAAAGACCATCCAGTTCCAACCCCCCTGCCATGGGCCCCTGCCACCTTCTAGGAAGGGAGGGACACCTTCCACTAGACCAGGTTGCTCAAAGCCTCATCCAGCCTGGCCTTGAACACTTCCAGGGATGGGGCATCCACATCTCTGGGCAACCTGTGCCAGTGCCTCACCACCCTCTCCAGGAAGAACTTCTTCCTGATATCTAATCTAAACCTCCCCGCTTTCAATTTAAACTCTCCATGATGTCCCCAACTGACCAGGGGGATTTCTTAGGCTCTCTCACCTAGAACAGATGCCACTGTGGCTATGTCACGAAAACAGTGTCATTAGAAGGTTACTTACGTATTTGTCACACAGACAATTTTAAAGCCAAAAGGAAACAGCATGTGGGGTAAAAACTTCTAAGAAGAATGTCATCAACAGAACCTCCATCTGCAAACCTCAAAGCATGACCATGAGCCTGCGCTCCTCTTCTTTCCTGTCCACATCATTCTGTACATGTTCTCACACACCCTAGCTCTAGCACAACTGCACTTTTAACAGAAGGATGAGGAACAGGAGACAACTGCTTCGTGGGCAACATGCCTGTTCAGCTGCTGAGAAGCACAACAGAAATGGAGAGGCTCAACACGAGATGTATCCTCGTCATTCCACCAACAGCTCCATGCAATGACACAAGCTAGTCAAGCACAACCAGAGAAGAGCACTAGAGGACAAATGTCACCAGATCTTCAGCTTCTGTAGAGCAAATCCGGGTTACGGCCTGCCCACCTCTCAGCTACTCCTAAGGACTAAAAGCAATTTCATGGCAGAGGTCACATTTTTTTAAATGCACACACAAACAGGAATAAGATGTACCTCCAACACTGGCCCCACTGGAAAGATGCAATGCAACTTTAAAAACAAACAAAACACCACTTTTCTGTGGGGAGGGAGGTGGAACGGGAATGGGAACAACAAACCTGAAACTCTGGAAGAAAGGTCAGGACTAGGCTGCGATCAAAAGGGTCTCTCTCTCGTTTACCTTCAAGGCGCATAAAGTAAGAAAAACAAATATAAACAAAAGGATAATTTTTTTCACAGGGATTTTTTTTGTTGTTTTTGCTGATCAAATTGCAGTCAGCCTCATGATGGTTCCTAATTACTGCCCACCATCTGAGCCACAGCAACCCTTCTGTGCAAGCTCTCACTCAAAATGCAACACATTCACTGCCTTGTATCTCACCCTGCAGAGGCAAAGGGCTTCCGAAGTGCAGTAACCTGTACAGCATACGTCTTAGCTTGCACGTGTAAGACCTAAAATGCTGCTCTGACATATACCACAGCCTCTGCACCAAGCCCAGCAAGGTTTCTCTAACTAAACACACCTCAAAGTCCTATAGAGTACCAATCCAAGGGGTCATGCTGTAAGCAAGACCGACATTCAATGATGGGATTAGGCTTTACACAAAGTTGAACTGTACTTATTCTTAAAAGTAAGCCGATACTGGCTTTCATAAGGTGCCACACTTGCTCAGGCAGCGGGAGGTATGTACTCCATATCCTCTTCCATCCATTTGGGTGAAGAGACAATCTCCCATTTCCCATAAAAACCTCTTGCCCTTTGCTGATAAACTCTACTGAGACCAGTGTGCTTTGCATTTCTTTCCTGAAACCAGTGGAAAAGACTGCAAGAAACTAGGGCCAAAAGCCAGATGATTGCCCAGTAACCAGAATACACATCTTAGACAACGTACAATTAGAGGTTTCAACCCTAATCCAAAAGGCCACTTAAGTATTTCATTCCATGGCCACACAGGCATGGATATGGATACCTTACATACATGCTATGTACTACTTCCTAGAAGAAATTGTGAGTTTCCAAGTGATATTGTGCCAATGGGAGTCAAAAACTATCACCACATGCCAACAGCTGCACACAACAGCGCACTGGCCATTTAAAAGACTAACAGATGAGTGGTTTAAAAGAAGTAATCTCTGCTGATTTCTGAAAGCAATACTGATACCAAAGCCCAGGAGTCTCTGGCCTGGGAATCATTATTTGATTAAACTATTTCCTACAGTTTAAAATCAGATGCCCTTGGCCTGGATGTTTTAAACGCACGCTGGTGTTTCTGTCGTCCTGCTCTGACAACTCCCCCTTACATGCTAGCGTCTCCAAACCCTGTGCTAAGCAGCTGAACGCACCAACCTGGATTTCACTCCACAGCTTTACTGAAGCTCCTCTGTGGGTCTAACCCAAAGAATTTACCTGAGAAAAAGGCTGCATGGGGCTATTCCTTTAGATCAACCAAGAGCAAAGCTAAATTCCAAATCCAGACAGAGGCCTCAATTATGTAAAACAAAGAACAGTGAAGTCTGTTGCCTTTGCACATGAATTGCTTTCACAGTACGGTCTGCAGATC